TGAGATCATGCACTAGGATGCCATGAGGGCAGACACAGACCCCTACAAGACCTGCACCTCCCCTGCCTCCACCCAGGATGCTCTCCTGCACCCACCACTGTGGGGAGACCTCCAGGAGCCCAGACAACCACACGCAGAACTTGTTGCTCCAGTCCTGTGGTGCCATCTCTTAGGTGGGCTCAGTTATGTGACAAGATCTGAAACCAGGGCTCCATCTCTCCGCTGGCCCTTTCCCCCGCAGATGACAGACCTGGGGTAGGTGAGCCTTATCTTCTCCCTTAGTTCCGGTTTGGAACATGCCCCTTCTCATTTGTGCCTATTGAGCGACTCTGTAAGCGAATACCGATGTTGGATGGCGGGGTGGGCAGCCTGTCCTGTCCTTATCTCAGGGCTCATTCAGACGGAAAGAGGCCCCTGCCAGGCTGCTCTGTTTACTCTGCATTCTCTGCCCATTGTACATAAAATTGATCTGGGGGGAGTTTGTTTTTCTTCTTTTTCCTCCAATCTCCTTATTAGTTCAGCCTCAGAAAGTCCCTTATCACTGCCGGATGTCAGGCCGCACTCTGCCATCAGGCCTGGCCAGCGCAGACTCTCCATTAATTGATTTTGCCCTCCCCGCTCAGGAAGCACAAATTGGCTCTGCCCATTAGCAGCAATAATTCCCTGAAAAGGATTATAAATCATGCCCTGTGTCCATCCATGGCTCACAGCAGTGCCCACGTGGGGAGGTGTCGAGACGGGAGATGGAACGTCTGATGGGCAGGGAGGTCCCTGCAGGTCTGCAGGTCCTTTCCTGAACCTGACCAAGTGAGGCCACTGCCAACCCGGAGGAGTAGCTAAAACAGGTGCCAGCACACAGAGGCACGCAATTAGTGCGCACTGAACGAGCAAAGGGGGGAGGGTGGGGGAGGGGCTTCCTTGAGGTGCAGAGCGCTTTGAGGACCTCCTGAGTTACCCCCACCACCAATTCCACCATAGTTACCATTCTTCAGCTCTGTGGCCTTGGGGTTTTCAGAAGCCCCCCCGTTAAACTGGACAAGCTCCCGAGAAAGACTCTACCCTCAACTCCAGTCGGGTAATGCCTTGCCGGTCTCCGGGTGGTCTGTAAAAATCTGAGTGTGAGAGGAGGCTACAGGGGTGCACCCAAAAGACAGCAGAGCAGAGAGAGCAGCAGAAGAGGGGAGAAAGCGCAGCCAGGCGAGGTGACAGAGCCACGGTTCTGGCCCACTCGGCCGGCACAGGAGGCTCTCAGGGGCTGGTCCCTACATGAATGGAGTGCTCTGCCCACAGGGAACCTGCGACCACTCCCTGCCCAGGACCTGACGCAGCCCTCCCTCCACCCCAACATGTGGCAGACACCCCCCGGCCCACCGCATTCACCCTTTCTCCCATGCAGACAGTCCATTCTCGCTCACCCTTTTCCTGCCACCTTAGAACCGTCACCATCACCTGTGCACGGAGTCCAGCCCTGTCGAGGATACTCGGGCTAAGAGTTGCTAAGACCTGCCTGAGATCTCCCAGAGATCAACAGATGAGCTTTCTAAATGGTACCCGAGAGAACTCTTCACATATTGAGCTTCTCCAGGGCAATAAAATCAGATTTGATTATCACACGGCCTTGCAGGTATAACGACAACCCCGCTTAAAGCCGAGAATTAGCGGACCTGCAGGGACGAGACGACGGCCGGCACTCTTGCCCAGTCTCGCCAAAGCATGAGCTAAAACCAGGTAAGGGGAGTTTTGTGACTCCAGATGCTTCCTTCTCCCTCCAAGACGAGCCCACATCCCAGCACACTGCTGTCTGGGAGAGCTCTAGGTGTGAGGAGGGCCTCTACGGGACGGCGTTAGATCCCTGGGGGCCTCAGGGATCCCAGAACCAGCAGGACTGCAGAGAGGGCGGCTGCCACCTCCAGACAGAACCCCACCTAAACCCCAGGATGGATGGGGTGCTGCGGAGGACCCCTCGCCTGCCTTTGGCCCTTGTCACAGCGTCAGGAGGTCCCTCACGTAGTCTCCACTCTTGCACATCCACTCCTGTCATTTGTTGTGCTTCTGGTTTGGGCCCAAGAGGAGATGAACCCTATATCACCACCACTCCATTAAGCCCCCTTATTTTTATTTTCTGTCAGACCCCCTCACTTCTCATTACAGAAACCATCATTGCTTGTCCTGGACATACTGGCCACAGTGTCTGCCTCCCCATAGTCCCTCCCAAGTGACACCTGTACCTGTGATGCCCACACCCCCAGACTGGGGCCGATCAGCTGAGGGTGGTACTTGACCCAAGGACAGCCCACCCTCAGCTTGAGGTGGCCACGTGAAGGGGGGCCTTGGATACTCAGCCTCTGAGAGGATTTGAGCCAAGAAACACCAAGAGAAAGAAGCAGAGGGCAGTGGGAGCTGACACTGACCAGATGTCAGGGGTGGGCCTGGGGCAGAACTCTGAGGCAGAGAGACGGGGGCAGAGCAGAGGGAAGAGGGGAGGGACCCCCTGAGGAGAGTGGGCAGGCACGCTGATGGTGGATAGTCAGGAGTAAGGAAGCGGGCCTGGGTGTACCAGCACCCTGGCTGTCCCTGGCTTCCTGTCACCAATTCTTTCAATGACTTGAGACAACTGGAGTGTGTTCTTCTTCCTTCCAACTCCAATAAGCCTTGACCAATTGAAAAAAAACAAAACTTATGTAACCATTGGGAAGTAACAGAATACCTAACAGTGGCTTACACAAATAGAGTTTATGTTTCTAACATTTTTGAAATCTAGAGATGGGTGTGGGCAGGAATCGGCTGAGCATCTCTGCAACCCTCTTGACCCTTCCCTCACAGACAGGAGATGACACAGCAGGTCCTGTCACCTGTGCAGACAGAGGGGGAAAGGTGGGGCTGCTGCACTGAAGCCTTTGTCAGGATAGAACAATGCTGCCCACACCGCCACAGCCCACTGCCCAGCTCTAATTGGTCAAAATGGGGTCACATGGCCGCCCCAGCTGCAAGGGAGCTTGGAAAGTGGATACAAGGGACACTGACAATCCTCTGATCCCCTCCCCATTTCTGTGCCCCTCCCCCTCTTCATGTGTTATTGCTCCCAATGGCCTGGCCTGCACCTGGGGCTCTTCAGGACACTGTCCACAGACAACTGCAGCCGTTTTGCCTGCAGGTGCACAGAGCCAGAGACGCCCCGATGACCGGCGGATGTGGGCCTCTGGAAGCCCGGGTCCCCTGCCTCCACTTGGGACTAACCAGCGTGCTTTACCCACTAGGACCCCCAGGAAGCAGGATGAGCTGGGGCTGGGGTGCCCCGTTTGGCCCGCTTGCCCCATGCCTTATGGGTCTGCAGGTACTCCACTGCTCACACACAGCCCCCCCTCTCAGGGCTGCTCCTGGGGAGCCTGGCCTAAGGCAGCGCAGAGCAGGATTATCAGGCAGGTGCGACCAGTCACGCTCCCTGCCTGCGGCTGACATGTACAAAGTGGGGTTGCAGGCAACTCAGTGTCTGCTGCCACAGCCCATTACAGGAAACATCAGCCAACATAAGCAGAGAACCGGAAACCTCACACACTGCTGGTGGGACTGCAAAATGGCACAGCTGCTTTGGAAAATGGTCTGGCAGTTCCTCAAAAAGTCAAACATAGAGTGACCATGGGACACAGCAGTTCCACCCCCAGAGATGTACCCGAGAGACATGAAAATACATCCCACAAAAACGTGTATACAAATATTCACAGCAGCATTATTCATGACAGCCAGAAAGTGCAAACAGCCCAAATGTCTATCAACTGATGAATGGATAAATAAAATGTGGCACATCCATACAATGCAATACGATCAGCCATAAAGAGGAATAAAGTACTGATCCGTGCTACAATAGGGACGAACCTTGAAAACATTAGGCTAATTGGAGACGCCAGACACAAAAGGCCACATATCATATGATTCCATTTATATGAAATGTCCAGAATCAGGAAATCCATAGAGACAGAGAGCAGGGTAACGGTTGCCAGAGGCTGAGGGGCTGGGGGTGGGGGATGATAGCTAAGGGGTGCAGGGTTTCTCTTTGAGGTGGTGAAAATGTTCTAAAATTGATGGTGGGGATGGTTGCACGACTCTATGAGTATACTAAAAACCATTCCATTGTACGCTTTAAGTGTGTGAATGGTATGGTATGTGAATTATATCTCAATAAAGCAATTGCAAACCCATACACACACAAGCAAAGAAAAGAAAGGCAGGGAAAACCCTCAGTTCTACCCACAGAGCCACTTGGAGCCAAGATATACTGTTAGCTCTTTTTTATTCACACATACATCTCGCCAACATATTATCCTCTGAATGGAACCTGCGAAAGGACTTCAAGCACAGAAAATTGCCAGCAAAAGCTATGAAGCAAACGTGTCCAATGTATTAGGAGCATCAACGTGATACCGTCCCTGATGGAGATTGTCGTTTCTCTATTTGCTTTGCCCTCATTTGTCACCTGGTTTACTCATCCTCGGGTTCCCCCAATAGGCAGGTCAATTCTCCTGGCCCCATTTCGTAGCCAAGGCAACTGAGTACAAGGTTTATTCACACCATTCTGGTTTCTTGGCTCCTAAGCTTGGGGGCTTGAAGCCTTCATGAGTGAAAAGCTGGAGGCCGTCAAGGGGGCCCATTCGGGCCTGGGCGGAGTGAGGGGGAGAAACAGATTTGGCCCAGAAACACCCATCCAGCTTGGAGGCAGAGGGTGAGACAGGATGACCTCAGGAAGACCCGGTAGGTTTCTTTGAGGGGTCCATGCCTCTGACTTGCTGCTCTCCACGGAAAAAAAAGCTGGGTGGGTGGGGGGTGGCAGGCCTGTTTGCACTCAGAGACACTTAGCGCAGCCAGGCTGAGCTGCACTGTTCAAACAGACTCCCCGGCCTGCAGACACGTGTGCCGAGGAGGGCGAGGCAGCAGGAGGCCGGGTGCAGGGCCCTGGGCGCTGACTCCTCACCTGCTCCCCGCCTCTCCTCCTATAACTGGCCCCACAGCCCTGGCCGAGCCCTGGCTACACCATGCCCCACGCTAGGCTCTGCAGTTTCCTGGGTGGCGGGCTCCTGCCCCTGCTGCTGGCCTATGTCTGCTACCTGCTGCTCGGCGCCACCATCTTCCAGGCGCTGGAGAAGCAGGCCGAGGCTCAGTCCAGGGGCCAGTTTCAGTTCGAGAAGCTGCGCTTCCTGGAGAACTACACCTGCCTGGACCAGCGGGCCCTGGAGGAGTTTGTGCAGGTGAAAGGGAGATGCTGGCGTGGGACGGTGGGCAGAATGGGGGTTCTCATGGCAGGTCTAGAGCCACCCCCCAGGCTGATGCCCTGTTTGGAAGCAGGCTGTGGTGGGAACAAAGAGCCAGGTGAGACCTAGTGCTGGATTCTGGCCCCAGGTCTACAACTGGATGGCTGCGTGACACTGGGCAAGTCACTTAACCTCTCTGGACTCAAATTTCCTCATCAATAAGATGAGGAGAATGATCATATCTGGGCTGCAGCCGTTTGACAGCAGATTAAAGCACTTTCTAAGCTGCCGCTTGCTATATAAACATGAGCTGTGCGTCAGTGTTATCAATGCTGTGCAAATTTCCTTCTCTCACACTCTGCACTTCCCCTGGCAGGAGAGCTGTTCCTCCTGTTTTGTCCCCAGCTCACAGCGTTGTGCTAACCACACTCAAGGGCTGCGGGTGGGAGACACAGAGAGAGGTCCGGAGCTGCCACTGTGCCAGCCCTCCCCACCAGGTTCCATCTGGAGCTGGGCTTGATGAGCAGTGGCCAGGGCCACTGGGGTCCACCAGCACTGTGTCCATGGAGGCTCTCTGTGGTGGCAGGGAGGATCACTCCCTGCCTGGGCCCCTTCTGCTTCCCTGTGCAAACTCTGGGGCCCCAGCACCATCTCTCCCAAAAGCAAGGCAAAACCTAGGTGTTGTGGGGGAAGGTGAATGCATTCAGGACCAGGGATCTAGTGAATGACAACACCCAGCACAGAGGATCAAGCCAGGTGCAGACTCATCACAATGATAATGGGCAGTTATAGGGCACTTACAATGTGCTGAAAACAGTGGGGCTCAGGGTCATCATGATGGGGCTAGACCAGCCATGCTCCAGCCCCTGGGGCCAAGCGTTTTGCACATGTTTCCTCATAATTACTAATTACTGTCACTATCGCCAGGTTGTAGATGGGAACTGAGGCACAGAGAGGTTGGCCAAGGCTGCAGGTAGTGGTAGGTATAGAACCCACACCCAGGCTGTCCGCTCTTTACCACACAAGTAAGCATAAGTGTGGGGGGCAGGATACAGCCTGGAGAAGCAGTTCTCAAAGTGTAGCCCCCCTGGAGCAGCCGCATCAGCATCACCTGGGAGCTCCAGGCAAGGCTGGTGCCCACTCAAGATGGAGAACAGCTGGCCTAGAAGATGATGGGTGGGCTGGGTGGTCAGAGAGAACTTTCTAAAGCTGTCCAGGCTCTTTCTTCTGGGAAATGAGGCCTCTAGCATCAGGCTTCATTTCCTTGCTCCCCCGCAGTACAGGGCCCAGAAGGATTCAGGAGCCTCCCAAGACCCCGGGACGTCAGGCAGAGGCCCTTGAGGCCCTGGAACTCCTCCTCCCCCAGCCCAGGGTTAGAGGTGAACCCAGGAGCCAGAGGGTGTGGGGAGGATTGCTGGCTGGGCTCTAACTAGCTCTGTAAATGGAGGAAGGAGGCAACAGGTTGACCGCAGTCCCAGGGTGGTGCCACTAATTAACACCTTCCCGGGGCCTCCCCAGGGGAGCTGGAGTCCTCAGCCTGCTTGTGAGGGACCATTACTTGCCAGGTGAATCCAGCTGAGAGGCAGAAGAATGCTGGGATGAGATTCCGGAAGAATACACATTACTGTTAAAATCACAAGGAAAAAGAAAAGCTATAAACAGTACTGTAAAAAGCTATAAAAGCATTATTGAAAATTGACTCCTTAAGGACACAAGGCCTTGCCCAGGTTCACAGGACTCATGTGTGACTTTCTCCACCACATGTGGATTCTTGGAGAAGGACGGAAGGTCAGCATTTGGCACTCCACTCTTAGTACCCTCACTGACATCAAGGCCCCTCCTCAGTGGGATGGAGGACCTCAGGTTGGCTTTGGGGGACAGCCCGAGTCCAGGGCAAGTGCTGGTCCCAAGGGTGAGGGTCTCCAGGGAGCATTCTGGTCTCCAGGACCAGAATGTTCGGTCCTGGCCTCTCTGGGTGTGTGGGAAAGAGAAGGAGGCTAAAGTTCACATGCGAAGAGGCCAAAAGTGAGGAGAAGCAGACAGCCTGTGTCTGGAGGCCAGAGCAGGCCTGGCCCATTGGGGCCACCCCAACCCTGGCCGGAACGTGCTCACCCAGCCAGTGGGAACTGGTTCCCACAGGAACTGGAGGCCGGAGCTGTCCCTCCTCCACCGCCTCCTGCTGCCTTTGGGGCTGTACCAGGTGGCACGGCTATGCTGCTGCCCTGGGACAATTCACAGCAGATGGGGAGGGAGCCCTGCCCATCTCCAAGAGGATTGGCTCAGGGACAGAGGGGCTTAGGCCGCAAGGGTTCAGGTTCTGCAAACACACACTCAACACACATATACACACAAAGCATGCACACACACAACATACGTACCCATGCACACATCACATGTATACAACACACCACCACCACCACACACAAACACACACGACCTTTGCCCTGGCCTCTGATGGAATTTCTCCCCGTAGACTTGGGCTGGGAACTAGAGGGCAGCAGAGAGCAAGGCTGCCTGCTCCTTTGGAAGCACAGAAAACATAGGGTTCTCTGACCCTCACCATCAGCCCTGGGGGAGGGCAGCCCCATGGCTTCTCCGCGGTCCCCAAACCCTATATTCCTAAGTAAACCCTTCTAGGAATATCCAACCTGAAATCTTCGCACCGTCCTGACAACCCATTTGCGTCTCACCCTCTTGGCCACAGCGGCATCTCCCACCTGTACCAGTCCTTCAGCATCCTCCGCCTCACCTCCTCAGGCCCACTTCCCCTCCTCCAGCCCACGCTTACAGCCCACACTGGCCAGGGAAACAGGCAGTGGATTTGGAATCCAATGATCTTGAGCAGGTCCCTTGGCCACTCTGAGCCTTAGTTTCCTTTTCCATAAAATAGGAATGAGACTCTCTGAGAATGCCATTGAGTGAGATGACACGAAAGCACCCTGCCCAGAGCTTGGCCAACAGCCGGTGCTATCAACACCCTCTTCCCCCCACCCCCTGCCATCCCCCCACAGGTCATCATGGAAGCCTGGGTGAAGGGCGTGAACCCCAAAGGCAACTCCACCAACCCCAGCAACTGGGACTTCGGCAGCAGTTTCTTCTTTGCCGGCACGGTCGTCACCACCATAGGTAAAGTGTCAGGTGCCGAAGGGCTTCCCCAAAGCCCGTCCTGGTTCGGGTTCCCCAAAAGCAGATGCTGAGACAAGGATGTGGTTGATCTAGGAGATGGTCCCAGGAAGCACCAGTAGAGAAGTGGGAAAGTGACACAGGAGGGGGAGAAAAGGCAATACAGTGTACATTCATGAGCAGGCCACTGGGTAGGGCACCTGGGCTCACTGCCTCTGAGGACCCACAGAGAGGCTGGTAGAGCCCATCCTCAGAACAAGCCCTGTGAGAGGCGAGAAAGCAGGGGTATTTCTCTACCAACACCTGCCCCGGCCGGTTCAGAGCTGATCCTGGAAGTATCAACTCTCCGGCATTAAGGACCTGCCCACACACCAAGTGCACACCTGCAGCCACAAAAATCTCTCAGGTAGAGAGAGACGCAGTGACTTGGGAGGAACTGTCCACCCAAGCTGCAGGTGATGTCCAGGTGTTCCAATGGGACAGGGCTCTGACAGTGTCTGCTACACCCCCTCAGCCAGAAAACCCCCTCCACCTCCCGCAAGGAAATCCCCAGACCCCTGCTAACACCAGTCTCTCCTAGCCATTCAATTAAGTCCACTTCCATACACCTTCCTTGAGCTCAGGTGACATGAGAGGCAGAGTGATGGAGCGGGGTTAGGAGGTATGAACTTGGATCATATCCAGGCTTGGCCCTCAAGGAGCTTCCAAGCCAATGAAGAGGGATAAGATAAGCACACCAAAAACAATAATACAAGGCAAAGTAGATAAGTAGGTAGGAATGACACAAAGCTCTATAGGGAATCACACCTAGTCAGGAGGAGGAGGGTGGCAGTCAGGAGGGCTTCCTGGAGGCAGTGTCATTGGAAATGGGCCTTCAAAGACAAGCGGGAGTCTTATAAACAAAGATCATTCTAGCAGATGGTGGGAAGAGTATGCATGGAACAGGGAGACTTCCCCTCGTCCCCCAAGAGTGGGGGGGAAACCAACCTGTGCTAGAGTCAGGGGGAAGAGGGAGTTCTGAACTCTCTTCCCCAATTTGCACACTCTTCCTCCATCTATAGGATATGGGAACCTGGCGCCCAGCACGGAGGAAGGCCAGACCTTCTGTGTCTTCTATGCCCTGGTGGGCATCCCACTCAACGCGGTCTTCCTCAACCACCTGGGCAAAGGACTGCGTGCCCGCCTGTCCGCCCTTGAGGGGTGGGAGGACCAGTCCAGGCGTTCCCAGGTAGGGCCCCTCCCTCCCCACTGCCCTGCTGTGGCAGAATGTATTGCAGACTGAGTCCTCTGGAAGCCAACCCTGAGTTGAAGTTTGGCAAGCAGGGTATGGGGGTAGACACCTGTGGTTTGGGCAGAGGGAGACATTGAATCGGGACGCAGCCTGGACAAAGACTTGGCCAGCCCCTCAAGGAGCTCTGCAGTGTGCGGGCGGGCGGAGTTGGCCCATGGTGGGCTGAAACGGCCAGGACTTTATACCCCTGCCTCAATCAGGCACCAGCATGGCCTTCCTGGGAAGGGTGTGCCCTTGGGCCAGGCACGTCTCTGCAGCTGAAGCACCCCCTGAAGGAGCTGACAGCTGGTCAACGTGGTGCATCTCCGTGGTCATCATGGAACTCCAGCATCGTTTCCTGTGGTTGAAAACAAACTCCAGGCCACCCAGCATGCCCCCAGGTCCCACCTCATTGGCCAGTCCCTTGCAAAGCCAGGCATGTTAAGAAGGCAGGGGTGCAGAGGAATCTGGGACAGTTTAATGACAGTCCTCCGTCCCAGATCTGAGTCCCTGAGGGCCTGTACAAGTGGATTCCGAAGCCCAAAGGAGTCTCCATATTCCAACTTGACCCACTAACGCAATCCCTCTGACACAATCTTTCTCAGAGCTGGGCAAGATCACACACGCATAGATACAACCACCACCCCAAAGGTCTGCGGGGCAGGGAAGGGACCTAGCTCTGACCCAGCCCCACTCCCAAATTTGCCCCAGACCCCCCACCACACAATCCTGGACTCAGAGACAGCCTCCGTCCCTCCCAGATTCTGCAGATGCTGGGCCTGGCTCTGTTCGTGATCCTGGGGACGGTGCTCATCCTCATCTTCCCGCCCATAGTCTTCAGCCACGTGGAGGGCTGGAGCATCAGTGAGGGCTTCTACTTTGCCTTCATCACTCTCAGCACCATCGGCTTTGGGGACTACGTCGTCGGTGAGAATGAGGCCGTCACGTAACTTAGGGTGGGGGCCACCGGGATTCGGGGTGGGAGGAGATGTCAGCGGGTGGGGGAGGGAACTACTGAGGATCTGATAGCCCCTGGTTAGTTGGAAAACTGATTTCCGAGGCTGCTGTGGATGCTCACAAGATGCTCAGAAGTGGCTGCTCTGGGACCTGTCACCTTTTCCCCCAGGGACCTCCATTGCTGATCCTTGTTATGGGGGGACTGGTGAGGTCCCCTGTGGAATCTGGGGGGTGCTGCACCCTCAGACCTCTGGCATTTATCATGTCCCCCTTCCTTGCCAGGCACAGACCCCAGCAAGCATTACATTTCAGTGTACCGGAGCCTGGCGGCCATCTGGATCCTCCTGGGCCTGGCATGGCTGGCAGTGGTCCTCCCACTGGGGCCCCTGCTTCTGCACCGGTGCTTCCAGCTCTGGCTGCCCAGCAGGAGCCTCAGCCTCAAGGAAAGGGGAGCCCCTGAGGCCGATGGGCTCCCCACACTTCAGAAGCTCCCCGTCTCTGCATGAGGCCCCCAAGTGGCCCCAAGAGCCCCTCCCAGCTCCCATCTGCCCTCTGGATTGCCCTCTGGATTTCCTGTCCTGCCTCCTCCTCTCCCAACCCTCTCACTCCCCAGCAAGGGCTGGTCTCAGGAGCTCTGAGAGAAAGAAAACAGACAGGAGTGTCCAAGAAAGTAACAAGAAGGAGATGTAGAGACAGGATCGAAGACAGACATGTGCCATTGTCCCCGAGCCCCTGCCCTTTTCCCCTCAAAAGTGCCCTGGAGAAGTGGAAGCCAGACATGGATCATTGTGGCCAAGTCTCCACTGCTGTCCACGCACCTCCCTCCCAGGAGACCTGATACAGGACAGCAGACGAAGAGTGACTTTATTTTTGCCTCATTTGCTACATGTACAGGGTGCATTTGTTAGGCCCCCACAGTGTGTCAGGCGCTGTGCCAGGCTCTGGGGGTACAACAGTGAAAGTTCCTGCCCTCCACACGTGTTTGGTCAAGCAGAAGGACTAACCAAGTAGAGAGGGTACCCCAACCCAGTGCCCAAATGCTATGTGGGGGCAGACCAGGGAATGACGAGAGCCTTGGGAGTGGCTGGCAGGAAGCGTCAAGAAGAGGGGAGAGCTGGGCAGGAACTTGGAGCATCCTCCTGCAAATGTGATATCTGCCCTAGGAAGTTCACAGCCTGCAATGTAGGCAAGCTGCTTGCAAAGCCTGCCAGTTCCCCTCGCCTAGAGGCCTAGGGCTGTCTGTGAACAAGGCTTAGGAGCTCTTGGGTGTCCCACCCACTTTCCCGGGCATGGCCTCCCCTGACCCCCTCAGGGCACCCCTTGACCTCATCACCCCCTCTGGGCTCATATCTTCTTGAGAGCCTTTCCAAACACCCTCTGGGAAAACGGAGAGCCAGAAGAACCCAGGAGGCTTCTAGGAAATGAGCCCCATGGAGGCTCAGCCCCCCTTGGGAATGCGCTCTGCAGCCCTGGCCTTTCTCCTGACGGATTGCAACATCTCTGGCCAGAAGGAGAGGACAGATGTAGACCAGTCCATCCCGGCGCCCAACCTCACCAAGAACTGTAAATCTCCGCCCCTACCTCTCCCAGCAAGGAAGGCCATCCACCGCCAGGGACCTCCAGACAGGACTGAGGCAAGGCTGTGAGCAGAGGAGGCTCCAGGAAAGATCTACAGCCCAAGAGTGATCCAGGTCACACCCCAGGACTTCCTGACCCAGAGGAGAGGCCTGGGAAATTGAGGACCCCCGGTGGACTCCTTACATACTCTGGACCCTTCCACAGTTCTGGGTGGAGGAGGGAGTGAGGGGGCCTCTTAAGAAGCAGGGAATGGACAAGCCCACCCGTCAAGGCTCCTGTGCCCCGAGCTCACGGACAAGTGGTGATCAGCTGGGATCAGATGTGCTCCTCTTAGGGTACACAAAGGAAAGGATGGTGATACGAGAGACCCAGGGAGGACTTGACAGGCAGCAAGTCCTTTGCGATTGTCCCAGGGTCCACGGACTTAGGCAGTGACCCTAAGACAATAAACTTGGCTCCTACTTGCTCTTCCCTCGAGTGCAAGCGCGGTCTCCAGGAGTCCCTCCCGCTGCTTGGCACAGGACACGCCGGAGCTCCGGGCCCCCTTCCTCTCGGCGCCTGCGTTACCCAGCAGCCCTCCCTCTCCCTGAGCTAGGCCTGGGGGGTGCACGCTCCACACACGTTCGAGGCGGGGCCAGATGCCCACAGCTCTGGCCTCTTTTTCTCCCTGGGATTGGATCCCGGTGCGGGGTGTGGCAAGGCAGTCCCATTCCCCAGCACGCCCCTTCTGCTGAGAAAACTGGGCACAGGCAGGCGTTAGCTAGAGAAGGGACCAGCCGAGCTCCTAGCCCCTCCTTTCCGCCTCAGTCCTGGTCCATGGCTCCCGGCTCAGGCCTCCCTGCCTGTCTCGAGCTGTGCAGACCGCGAGCCCCGACGGCGTCTGAGGGCAGGGCCCGGGGCTGCGCGGTGCCGGGCACCGGGCTTCTGCTGTTCGCCTACCTGGCTTACCTGGCACTGGGCACCGGCGTGTTCTGGGTGCTAGAGAGCCCCGCGGCGCACGATTCCTGCAAGAGATTCCAGCGCGAAAAGTGGGCGCTGCTACGGAATTTCACATGTCTGGATGGCCAGGCGTTGGATTTGCTGATCCGGGTCAGGGGCGAGCGGGGCCGTCCGGGGCGCGGCGGGACGGGGCAGGGTAGCGCAGGGTGCGCGGGCAGAAGGCGAGAGGGCACTTAAACAAAAGAGAGGTGGAGGGGATAGACGCGGGGACGACTGGGGGCGCGCGGTGCCGGGTGGGGGACGAGAGGGGTGGGCTGGACCGCGGTGGAAAGGGTCCCCGCTCCAGTGAGAGGAATGCGCCCCGCGGCGCTCCGAGTATCCTTTGGGGGCCGAGAGGGTAGAACTGACCCTGCGGAGAGATGCGTGGCGCCAACATCCGAATCTGAGGATGAGGACGACCTGGGGCGCGCTTACCCGGGTCGGGAGCTGCCAGGGCCGACCCGGTCCGTCAGAATAGGGGCAGGGCGCGCTTGTCCGGCTCGGGAGACGGCGGGCGAGGGTCCAACCGGGACCCCGAGGCGCTGTGTCGGGGTCAGACCGCGGGTGAAGGACGAAAGGTGACACCTGGTTCCTTCCCCGGAAAGACCCCAGGCGCAAATATGCGAATTGGGAGCGAGGACGGCAGGAGGCGCTGCACGTGTCTAAGGATGAGCAAGACCGAGGGCACGACCGTCGGGGTCTGGGGAAAGGGGCAGAAGGCGCCCTTGTCCCAGCGTGGGGTGGAATGGGGCTGAGGCGCGCGTGCCCGAGTCCGAGGGCTCGAAGCGCGCAGACCCGAGTCGGAGAGGAGGGGCGGACGCGGGGGCGCTCTTGGGCTGCCCGCGTTACTCCAAGTCTTCCGACACCAGGGGCTGGGCGCGCCCACCCAGCCGCGGAAGGATGCAGAGGTCTCTGAGGACAGAGACTGCTCAGAGGGTGGGGACCCAGCGGGTCGTGGGGAGGAGGGGAAGCAAGGGAGGGCTCTTCGAGGGGGGGCATCGAGGATGATGGAGGCCTCCTTCCCCGACTCTGGGCAGGCGACGCCAGACTGGGAGCTGCTGAGACTTGGCGGATGCGTTAGCGTCTGGGTCCTGGCTTGGTCCCCAGGCCCAGACAGCTGCAACCCTAGCCCGAAATCCCCGCAGTACAGTCCGGGTGCCTCCGAGGAGGAGGGCAGGGCCTGCGTCCTGGGCACCTGAGCGGAGGTGGTGTCCTGAGCCCTCAGACTGGGCCAATGCGGCAGTGCCTGGAGCTGGGCAGGGCAAGGACCACCTCTGCTAAGGACCTAGTGTAGCGCCTCCACCCCCACCTCTAAACTTCCACAAATACAGCCCGACCGCCCGGTCCTGGAGGCTGTGTTGCTCCCCTTGCAAAGGAGATGAACTTAGCTACAGGATCCTGGGCCCAGGGAGATGACAATGAGGGCGATGATGATAACAAACGCTTCTGCGTAGCACTCGCTGTGTGTCGAGCACTCTTCCTAGTGCATTAACCTGTGTTAACTCGTTTCAGCCTCACCTACCTCACAGATGGGTACCATTATACTCATCTCCATTTTAGAGATGGAGAAACTGAGGCTCAGAGATGTTAACTACAAATACATGGGTACACAGCTGTTAACCGCCATGAGTACTGCCTCAGTGGGATCTGTGCATGTGGGTGTTTCCCAAGGTTCCCAGCTGGGCTTTCACCTCTGCACACTGCCCCTCCAACTGCCTCCTGCTCCGCCGCCACTTCACCCCCTCCCTTCACCCTCCTGTGGCTTCAGCCATCCCCAGGAATAAGGATGTGGTGTCTCCAACCCAGATCTTCCCCCCTGAGTACCAGATGTGTACATGCAACTTCCTGGCGGCCCTCAAATTCCCCCAAGATCAAGAGCAGGTGGCCTTCCTCCTCCCAGCCCTGCTCCTCCTCCGGTTCTAAATCTCTGTCATCGGCCCCACACCCACACACCCTCACAGTGGTCTTAGATGCTTCCCTCACTACCCACACCAAACAGAGGCCTGGGCTTCTGAACATCTCCTCTCTGTTCCTTCTGGACCACTCTGCCACGATGCGGGCCAGGCCCTCCCATCACTCACCCCTGCAGGAGTCTCTCCCCTTCCAGTCTGCCAACATCTTCTCTGCTGCCAGCTGTCACAGAGCATGCAAACCTGATCCTGCCTCCCCTTTGCTCAGTGAGCCTGGATGAGGCCTGCCACTGGCTCCTTGGCAGGGCTGAGCCGAACATGGCCTGGCCCCCGACTATCTTTCAGTCTCCCTATTCTAGATCCCAGGCACAGTCCCACCTCCCTGCCTTTGCTCCTGCTGACCCATCTGCCTAAATATCCCTCACTGGGGGCAATCCTGTCTGACCCTCAAGGAAGGCCCAAGCAAAACATCACCCCCTCCATGAAGCCTTCTGCCCCCACTCCCATCAGAATGAACACCTTCCTCTCTGTACTCCTACTGCGTGAGATTCATGATAATGATGATGATGGCAACCACTAACATTTACCATGTTCCAGGTTCTGTTAAGTCTTCACACCTAATGCCTCGTTTAACCCTCACAACAACTCAATGAAGTTGGTGCTATTAAGATTCCCATTTTATAGATGAGAAAACTGAAGCACAGAGAAGTTGAGCATCTTCCCCAGGATCATGCAGCTGCACTGCCTTTGTGCCCAGAGCTGCACGGACTGCACTGGGTTAGTTAGATAATTTGGCTCCGTCCCACTGAGGACTGAGGTCACGTCCTTTTCATCTCCCGGTTCTCTTAAGGTATCTCACAGCAGGCCTGGCCAGTGCTTGTTGCAGGAATGGGGGTGAGCAGAGAAGAAAATGAATGGTGTTCTTCCAGCCAGTGAGATACCCTGGGCTGACATGGGCTCTGGGGTAAAGTGAGGGGAAGGAGCTGTCCTCATGATCCCTGCCCCTGGGAGCCCCTGGTTGGAGGGGGAGAGCCTCCTTTCCGTGGACTGGCTGGGATCAATAAGCAGTTGTGAGGATTGTCCATGGGTTTGTGTGTGTGTGCGTGTGTGCACATGTGTGTAGGTTTGGGTGCCAGGGCCCATTTGCCCCCACAGAGCCCAGTGGTTTGCAGCCTCTCCTGCAGGGCATTGTCCAAGCGTACCAGAGTGGGGACATCGTCCTCAGCAACACCACCGGCATGGGGCGTTGGGAGCTCATAGGTTCCTTCTTCTTTTCCGTGTCCACCATCTCCACCATTGG